TGGGAGTTGAAGTCCACAAGTCTTAAACTTGCCAAGTTTGAAGACCCCTGGCCTATACTAACTTTGTAAATGGCCTCCATTTAAGGAAAAAACAACAACAAACCACCCAAACAGCTGCCAAGTAACCCTTCACTGACCAAGTATTTCCACGCATTCACCAAGCAGCTCCGGAGATCATCCCAAGCTAGACTGCGGAACATCAGCTTCAGATGGGCCCAGCCAAGGAAGACTCCACAGTGCAAGAGAGTCAACTTGCAGCTCTGCAACCAGGAATAAAGGGGTGGCAGGTGGGTGAGTTGCCTTCTGCAGAAGGGGACATCTCTCCAGACCCCCAGAGCCATCTCAGCCTAAGAGGGAACATGCTGCAGCACCAGGGGTAGGATTCTATCGGTTCGGACTGGTTTGGACTGGCTCAAGCAAACTGGTAGTTCCAGTAAGCATTTGCCCTGCCCACCTGTCCCTGTTTTTCCCGGTGCTTTATTTCCTGGGGTTTTTTTTAGCACAGCTGATTCGCATGACAGAACTATTTGCCACACCTCAGCTGTTTTAGTCCCAGGGGCTGCGGAAGAAGGTAAGTAATTGAGTTGAAAATGGGCTTTTAAAAATGTAGAGCCCGCGCACGAACCACACCTTTGGCGCGCACTCACCAAACCAGTTGTTAGCCCCGGTTGAATCGCACCACTGTGCAGCACCGATCTAACCGCCAAGCTCAGCGACATCACACCCCTCAAACGACAAAAGTGCCCACCCTTATCTAAACCTCGAATGCCTGTTGGAATCCTCACACTTCCTAGCGGTGGGACATGTTCATTAGGCCGAAGGACGGGGACAACTCCTGTTTGCCCACGGTCTGCTCTTCCAAGGTTGCTTCTGTCCTCAGGTATTGTGTAACTGAAGCCAGGGGTTCTGTCGTGAGTATTGGCTTGTGACTTTAAACATCCCTTGCAAACCATGTTTGTTGAGCTTTGCTGTGCCCCCTTTGAATCCTCAAGTTCTACATTCATGTTGGTGATATTGAACCGAGTTCAATCTTCACCCCCTCAGAAGGTCGCCCCCACTGGAGGTTTGACTTGTTCCTAGATTCAAGGCCGTATAGGAAAGGGTGGGATTCGAAATTTTTAACAACCAGTTCTGTGGGTATGGCTTAAGTGGTGGGTGTGGCTTCATGGTCATGTGACAGGGTGGACATGTCTTGGTGGTCATGTTATTGGCTGGGTGTGGCCAACTCAATATCACTCACATCGAGGCACGGATCTCCTCACCTAGCCTCCCATGACTGTCGGGATGCTACAACAGTTGTAAGTGTGAAAAATGGTCACTTTTTTCAGAGCCATTGTAACTCTGAATGGTCACTCCACACAAGCCAAGTACCAGCAAAGGAGAGAAAAAAAAAACTCCAGAGAAGTTCCTGAGACAGGAAGTCTAGTCCTGCCAAGAATGGAATAAGGGTTAACAGAGAGGCAGTTTCTGTAAGCAACACCAGAATGTTTTCTTCCTGCCTTCCTTACAGGATTAGGCCAGTAATTTCTTCTAACAACCGGTTCTCCGAACTGCTTAGAATGTTAACAACCGAATAGGTGCGAACCGGTAGAATCCCACCCCTGCATATAGGCAAGACTGGTCTGTTAGTGTCCTTTCTGTTCGCGTAGATGATAGTGTTTTAGAGGGGACCCTTCCCAGGCCAAGCTGGGGAGCTCTGTGCCTTCTGCTAGAGCAAGAGTCAGCAACCTTTAACACTCAAAGAGCCATTCGGACTGTGTCCCACAGAAAAGAAAACACTGGGAGCCACAAAACCTTTCCCATGCCTGATTATTTCTGGAGCGGCCATAAAACTAGCATGTGTAGTTGTTCTCGTCTGAAGCTTTTAATTTCTTGGATTTATCCATGGTTACCGAGGGTTGAAAAGCTCAATAAATCACATGCCAGTGGGCATCACACACCGGTGGTTGTGAGGCATATTTTGAGTGATGGAGCCACAGCAGAGGGATGACAGAACCACATGTGGCTCCAGAACTGCAGGTTGCTGACCCTGCACTAGAGAAACGGATGTTCTACCCCTGAACTCCCCCCCCCCTTTCCAGCGGTGTGAAAGGAGAGGCCCCCCCTCTGCAGGCATCTGAACTTGCCATAGCCACCGTGGTCTCCCGGTCTTTCAAATGAAGCAGCAGGGGGAGGAGGCTGTAGACCACTTCTTTCTTGAGGAGGGCCTTCTCGGTTTCCTTGGACCTCATCACCAGCTGCCCGAACAAGGAGATGGCAGTTGCCCGGACTTCCGCTCTTTCCTGATGAAGACACACAAAGCAAGAAGCTTGTATGAAGGGGCGGCTTTTCTGTGATGGCAGTCCAGCTTGGATGCTTTGGGGAACCCCAGAGAATTTCACCGGACAGCAAAAGAGTAGAGAGATTTCAATGGATGAACTGGGGATTGTTCAAGTTCTTTCGAACACCCCGCACCCTGGGAAACGTTCTTTCATTCAAAATAGAGATTTAGAAAATTGCCTTTACTGGTTTCAAATATCCTCCCCACTGTGAAGGTGACCATATCAGAAATCAAGTGGTTTTTTTATCCCCTCTCTGAATTTACAAGCCTTCCAGGGCTTGATACCCCTGAGGTGATTCAGCAGGTGTTCCTATGTTTTTATGGAAGCCCCAACCCCATTTCTCCAAAACTTACGTCCTCAAAAAATGAGCGGACATTCAGAGCAAGGTCAACAGAGATGAGCCCAATTCCCTGGCCATCCATTTCATAGAGTGTGGTCATTATGTCGTTCAGCCCCTCCAGAACGTCTTCACATCCACTGAAAATAGAGTTGATCATGGTTGGAAGCTGGTCTCGTAGGGACTTAACCTGAGCAGACAAAAGGGAGGTAAACACAGGTTGGAGAGGGAAGTTTGCACCGGGTCTCAAATGGGGAACTGTAATCCCTGCCTATGGGGACCAGGATGGGACCTTCCCTGCTTCGTCTTGCGTTCTTCTTCGGAAAGAAAGAGCGTAGATGAAGCTCCGCAAATCCTCTGGTTTTCAAATCTGTCCGTTTGTGTTTAGATGACAGTGCAAAAGCCTGCCTAAAAAAGCGGCCCAAGACTCTTGTTGCCTCCTTATCAGGCGTGAGGGGGTCTGTCTTCAGAGTTTGTGACTGCCGTTTTTGTGGGTGACCAGGGGGTGAGCAGGACTGTAAAGACGTTGAGAGGAAGAGGTGGGAGTGAACTTTCCAGGGAGCGAACCAGGGGTGGGCTGCTGGGGGTTCGCAGGGGTTTGGGAGAGCCCCTAGCTAAGATTCCACACAATTTGGAGACCCCCCCAAATCGCACTCCTGGATGGCTCCACCCACCCCTCCCCTCCCAGGAGTCCCCACGTGGCCTGTTTTGGATACAGGTAACTGCAGGGCCCACGCAGAGGCTTGGGGAGGGCAAAAAAATGAGCCTCCCGGAAGTTCAGAAAGGCCGGAAATGGGCCTGTTTCTGGCTTCCAGAGAGCCTTTGGAGCCCCGGGAGGCTGTTTTCACCCTCCCGTAGGCTCACGGAAAGCCTCCGGAGTCCGGGGAGGGCAAAAATGCCCCATCCTACTACAATGGTGCAGGAGGCCAGCTAGGCCATGCCCACCATGGCCACGCCCACCCAGCAACCAGGCAGAGAACTCTATGCTAACATTTTTGAGCGAACTCAGGGGGAGAGAACAGCCTTGGCAGGGGGGAGTGGCAGCAGTTAGACAAAAGAGGGGAGATACAGACCCTAGCCCACCCTTGGGTTTCCAGGAGACCCTCAGCTGGAGATCCCCTCCGCCCAAACTACCACAGAGGAACTGCTCTGTAGGCCCCTCGTATAGAAAAGCTGGGATGTGAATCAATCCCCCCCACTCCTTCTCATTAGGGACCGTTGCTTCCCCCTCCTGCCCCCACACCACTTTCTACTGCTGTCAGAGGTGAACGTGGTGGAAGCGTACCAGAAAGTAGAGCAACAGTTGGGAAATGAAGCCCAGAAGGAGGAGGGAGGCTTCTTAGAGCCGCTAATAGGAGAGCAAACCCCGAACCTCCTTGGCTGGGCCTTGTATTGAAGTCCCTCTCTGGACTGCTGAGACTCCAGGGTGGGGTGGATTGGACAAAAATATCCTTCTTTCTGGATAAAGAATAAATGGTCTCAGCTTTTTTTTACCCCTCAGGTTTTTTTAAAATATAGTTTTTAATTAAGAATTAAAAATGGGTTGGGGGGGAATTAACAAACCTAATACAAAAAAGAAAAGGAGAAGGAAGAAAAAAGTCAAAAGCGCTAAAAGAAAAGTTGCGTTCAACTTCCTTTTGAGCAAGTGTAATTATAAATACAACATTCCCTCCTACTTTACGGTTACAGAAATAAACACCCTTTTTTGTATTATCTGTTTTTTTTCTAATCCTAAAAACAAGAAGTCATGTTCATTTTTTTCTGTATCACGGAAAAGCCAAAGAGGATTTCCAATTAGCAATAAACATAGAAATTGTCTTTTCTCTAATTAAATTACAGAACCAAATCAACTTGGCCATCTTAGTGAGTTCCATCCATCTTCACCAAATATTCTTCCATTGTATGTAATGTCAAGTCTTTGGTGCATACAATAATTTTGCTGCAGTTGTCCTATATACGTATGTATATACTGTATATGTATATATGTGTATATCTCTCTCTATCTCTATAGCTATACAAGAAATCCTCAGCTTACAACCACACTTGAGCCCCAAATTTTTGTTGCTAAGTGAAACATTTGCTAAGTGAATTTGGCCCCATTTTATGACCTTTTGTTCTGCAGTTGTTAAGTGAATTGCTGCAGCTGTTAGTGACACCACTGTTAAATGATGCATGCGCAGAGCTGACAAAAGAAAAGAACAGTTACGAACTAAGGGTCGATGTGGGAGTAAGGCCACAGGTGGACAGTGAATGGCCCATAAGGATTAAAAGAGGAACAAAAGGAGAGGGGGCTTTTGCAGGAAACAATTTGTTCGTTGCAGCAGTGTGAAGATCTGTCTGTGCATCGCAGAGACTATGTGCCGAGTCCTTCCTTGTCAGCACTGCATTTGGAAAAATGTACTTGGCAGCTCTGCAGGCTAGATAAGGTCTGTGCTCCTAATTACACCCTTGAAAGACTGTTTGCCAGGCCTTTGGCGGAATGTGCATGCAAGAAATTCACCTTCATTTAATAAAAGGGGTTTTGCTAGGACAAAAATATGCTTAGTGCTTTTGGGGGAAGCCTAGGTCAGAACAGAACCTTCTGGCACCAATGCAGGGCCCACAAAATGTTTGTAACTTGTTGAAAGTGATGAGCAGCCGGTTCCTGAAAGAGTTGTTGAGCCTTTCTGCAGATGTAGCTCTTGCTGCGCTCAGGTGGCATTATTTATTTATAAACAAACAAATAAACTTATTGCCTTAACTCAATCTTGTTATATCGCTGGAGATAAAACTGTTAGTCTTTTCACTGGCTCTAAGTATGCTTTTGGTGTTTGCCATGCTATTGTTCCCTTGTGGCTACAGAGGGTTTTTGGCCTTCTCAGGCACCCACGCAGTCCTGGTCCTTTCACTTTTAGAAGTGCGACTTCTCCCATCAGCTGTCATTCATTGTTCCTCTTATCAACGCGGTGAACCCTACTTTCACCAAAGGTAACTACTGTGCTGATTGGGTTGCTAAGTGGGCCGACTTTTCTCTTTTTCAATGTTTACATCTGTGTTTCCTGTTCAAATTTCTCTCCGATGTTGCGCCCAGTGGTGGGACTCAGCCAGTTCACACCACTTCGGGGGAACCGGTTGTTAACTTTCTGAGCAGTTTGGTGAACCGGTTGTTGGAAGAAATCATTAGGGCGGAGAACCGGTGGTTAAATTATTTGAATCCCACCACTGGTTGCACCCACTATCAGCCCATGGCTCAACAGTGCCTCTCGGAGAGGTTCCTTCCAGATGGTTTCTGACGGATGAGCAACAGCTCCACGTGCTCTTCTCGTCACATTGGACATCGTGGCACCCAAGCTATTGTAGATGCCATTCAGAGAGACTGATTCGCTCTTGGAATCTAGGTAGAAGCTTCTGGAATGCCTTATGTGCCAAGCTTCTAGTGCTTCTAGTGCTTCTTCTTGGTCAAGGACTAAGAAAGGGGTGCATCCACTTTCTTTTCTCATACTTACAAAGTGATTTTATTGCTTTGGCTACAACAAGTTTGTCTGGGCGATTCCTGGTCTTGTGGGGGAATGGGGAACCAACTGGAAAACTAAAATTTTATGGGGCAAAATTGGTCAAGAGCTACAGATGTTGCCTCTTGTATGATTTCAATTGAGAAATAGACCCCCCCCAAAATAGATTTTGGTCTGACTTCCCATGAAACGTTTGGTCATCCTCCTTGTACAACTCAAGGTTTAGATCAAGAGTCTGCAACCTGTGGCTCTGGAGCCGCAAACGGCTCTTTCGGCCCTCTGCTGTGGCTCCCTGCTGATCCCACCACTGGATGTCCCCTCCCCTCCCCGTCACTTCTCACCTGGCCTGAGAAGGTAAGGGGGATGGTGGGGGATGGAGACTCACTCCATATTCCAGAGCAGGAGGTGACTGGGTGGGAGTGAGTGATGTCGAGTTAGCCACACCCACCCAGTTACACCGGTTGTTAAATTATTGGCTCTTGGTGTTTTCTTTTCTGTGAGAAACGGGTCCAAATGGCTCTTTTGAGTGTTTAAGGTTGCAGATCCCTGGTTTAGATGCTCATTGCTTGGCCCTCGTAACAGGAAATTACTTTTTGAATCCACGTATTTTCTTTGGATCGTGAACTGCGTTCCCTATTGACCAGGAAAGCTGAGTTAGAACTGTTCTTTCTGGAAGACTACATCATTGCAGTCCAGCTGAGGTGGGCCCTCCCAAGTTCCAGGAACCACCTGTGCCTTCAGGAAGATGGCTGAAGGTCCACGTGGCCCGTCACACCTACCTGAAGTCGGTTTTTGCCACCGGTCTTGACTGTAGTCCAGGCAAACCTCCAGTACAGATGACCAGAATTCAGCCTGCTTGTTTGGCCCTTTAGAAATGACTTCATGAACTTTGGTCAAAGGGTAGCATTGGCTTGCGGGGTAGCCTATATGTTTGTACTTTTGTGGATTTTGTCACTTTCTACCTCTAAGTGGTTTATTGTATGTTCCAAGTTTATAAGTCGGCTAACCTTGCACTGTGGAGCTGCCCTGCTTAAGCACATGGGAATTCAGGAAATTAAGCCATAAATGTCAATGAAAGATGTGCCTTTAAAAGGAGTTTCTTGGGAAGTAATGATCAGGAAGCTTCTGGTGCCATTTTATGTTTTGCCCTTATACACAAGTGAGAGGGTCACCTGGACAGTAAGAAAGGAATGAGAAGAAACCACAATGCTGTAAGACCGTGATGGCGAACCTACGACACGCGTGCCACAGGCAGCACGCAGAGCTATTTGTGCAGGCATGCAAGCCCCAGCCAAACTTAACTGCACTGCGCATGCGTGCGTCTCCCAGCTGATTTTCGGCCTGTTTGAGGCTATTTTTAGCCTCTTAGAGGCTTGAGGGAAGCCTCTGCAGCCTCAGGAGGCTGAAAAATGGGCCTTCTGGAAACAGGCCCATTTTCAGCCTCTCGAGGCTGCAGAGGCTTCCCTTGAGCCCCTGGGAGGGTGAAAATGGCCTCCCTTGGGCTCCAGAAGCACTCCGGAGGCTGAAAATAGGCACTTCTGGTATTTCCGGAAGGCCCATTTTTCGGCCTCTTGAGGCTGCAGAGGCTTCCCTCAAGCCTCCAGGAGGGTCAAAACGGCCTCAAACGGGCTGAAATTCAGCTGGGAGATGCACGCATGCGCAGTGCAGGTAAAGAAGCGGGGTGTCATGCATAGGGGTGCAGGGTGCATTGCATTGTGGGTGCTGGCCCATGCTTTTGGCACACCACAACAAAAAGGTTCGCCATCACTGCTCTAGGGAGCAGATTCTGCCTAGCAGGAAAAGTAAAACGTGACCATTTTGGAGCTAAATGTGTGCAAAGTTAATACCTGACTCTAAAAGGGTGTCGCACCTGGCCTGGATCACCTTCAATGCTCTCGCCTTCGGTGTCAATCCATCTTGAACTCTGACCTGTGGTGTTTGACCTGGGCAGGGCAGGAATCCCAGAGGGGCAATTTCTCCGGAGAGCTCTTACCTTCCCTTGCTGGAAAACGAAGCTGTTCAGCCCTTTCAGGCAGAGGTCTTGCACGGCGGGATTGGGTGCTGCCAGACCCTCCTCCAGATGCTCCCGGAGGCTGAATCGGTTCATCATCTTGATGGCGGAGGGACTCTTGAGAAACTGGCGAGGAAGAAGAACTTTTTCTTTATTAGCGGACTAGCTCGATACCCGTGCTTCACTATGAAACTATGTGGTCGGGGAGGAAAATAACGGGAAATTAATTCTGCCTCTGCCTACCAGCATCCATTGGTATTCATCTGTCTAGCGTCCTGTCAGTATGTGAGAGAATTCAGGGCTGTTTGGAAACTGAAGCAGTATTTGCTGTGTGAGCAAGGAGACAGCAAGGAGCCTGGGCATGGCTTAGCTCAACTGTTCTGTACTAAAGCTAGTTGCTCCTGTGAAACTAAAACTGAAACGGAAACTCCTGTCCTCTGCTTGTGTTTTGCATTTGGAAGAGATTTCTTTTCAGGTGGGGGAGGGGGAGTAGAACTCCTTAGCATCAGAGCGCATTAATAATAATATAGGAAATACTAACGCTCTGGTGGCCATTTCCAAAAATCCTTTCTTAGCGAGCACCTAGAAGCCAAGAGGAACATATATGCTAAATGTCAAGTTTGTGGACTTTACGGTTCTGGAGATTTTGTGATGATGTGTGAGTGGTATTTCGCCTTTATATATCTAGGTGATTCTACTAGAAGACATTTAGAAAGGCTAAAGGACATGAACAGGCTCCAGATACTGGTCAGCATGCATCTGTGTGTGTGTGTGTGTGTGTGTGTGTCCCCGCATATGTCTGTGTGTGTGAACAAGCTCAGCTGGAGGCAGCATCATCCACAAAGCTCCGCCTTGCTTGGTGGCTTGGGGGCAAGAGACCCCCCCCCTCCTCCCTCTTGAGGCGAGTCCTCACCTCGATCACGAGCGCCAAGGCCGTCACCTTCTTCAGCTCATCCTCCTCACTGCTGAGAATGAGAGCAGCCTCTGCAAAGATTCCCGGGATCTGGGCACTGTTGCATTCAGTCATGGCCCTGCGCGATGTTGGGACAGAGGAGGAAGACAGTGTTGTGAGAGGCAGAGGCCACTTGGGGGCAGCCAAGAGAACTGCAGGGCTCCCCTCCCCCCTTCAGTTTCCCATGCCCCTTTCGGGGAGCAGAACGCCCTTGAGAGCCTCACCTGGCACCCGAGTGCTTTGCCTGATGATGCTCCCTTAGGGGCAGAGGGAGAGAGTGGTGACAATTGTCCCGTGGTGTCAGGAGAACCAGGAGGGGCCCAAGAGGAGCCCCATATAGCCCCTCCCCCACCAGCTTCCCCGTTGCTTGGAAGGACGGGAAAAGGGTGCCGTCCAACTTGACTCGCTCTTTCATGTTGGGCTGATTAAAACGGATCCTTTGCCCCACTCCAGCCCAGGGGGGGGGGGCTGCTGCATAGAGAAAGGAATGCGCCCCACCCCCCCAGTTCCTGGAGGAGGGTTCTGAGCCAGGGCTGGGCTGCTGGGAGTTCGCAGGGGTTCGGGAGAGCTCCTAGCTAAGATTCTGCACAGTTTGGAGAACTCCCAACTCCCACGCTTGGCTGGCCGCCCACCCCTCCCAGGAGTCCCCTATATGGCCTGTTTTGGATGCAGGGAAGTGCAGGGTGTGCGTAGAGGCTGTGGGAGGGTGAAAAACGGGCTTCCCAGAAGTTCAGGAAGGCCAGAAATGGGCCCATTTCTGGCTTCCAGAAAGCCTCAGGAGTCCGGGGAGTCCATTTTCGCCTTCCTGGAGGCTCAAGGAAAGCCTCCAGAGCCTGGGGAGGGCAAAAATGCCATTATGGTTCATGAGGCCGACTAGGCCACACCCACCATGGCTACACCCACCCAGCAACCAGGCAGAGAACCAGTTGCTAAAATGTTGAAGCCCGCCCCTGATCTGAGCCCAGAGGCAGTGTGTCTGGGAGACAGGTAGGACCCCTGGATGGAGGAAAGGAAGTAGCAGGAGGTGGGGGGCAGTGCAGGACTCAGCCGCCCTGGGGGGGTGGGAGGGCACTTAATGGCCAGGCCTCTTACCGGGGATGGGATTCAAATTTTTAACGACCGGTTTTGTGGGAGTGACTTAGGTGGTGGGCGTGGCTTGGTGGTCATGTTATTGGCTGGGCGTGGCCAACTCAATATCACTCACATCGAGGCACGCATCTCCTCGCCTGGCCTCTCATGACTGTGGGGATGCTGCAACAGTCGTAAGTGTGAAAAAGGGCCATAAGTCACTTTTTTCAGTGCCACTGTAACTTTGAATGGTCACTCCACACAAGCGAAGTACCAGCAAAGGAGGGGGGGAAAAATTCCAGAGAAGTTCCTGAGACAGGAAGTCTAGTCCTGCCAAGAATGTAATAAGGGTTAACGGAGAGGCAGTTTCTGTAAGCAACACCAGAATGTTTCCTTCCTGCCTTCCTTACAGGATTAGGCCAGGAATTTCTTCGAACAACCGGTTCTCTGAACTGCTTAGAATGTTAACAACCGGTTCTAGTGAATAGGTGCAAACCGGTAGAATCCCACCTCTGCCTCTTACCGTGCCAGCAGACGTGTGCCCTGCAAAAAGTGCTGAGGGTTGCTGAGCACCACCCAGCCTTGCTGGAACTCGATGCAGGCATAGACTGCCCAGTCCCCGGCCACAGAGAAGAGGCTCTTCACAATCTCCACTGAAGTGCTGCAGACGGAAAACAGGCGTCACTGCGCTTCTCTCCCCTCTCTCTCACATGTGCAGGGCCTGGTCCTTTTCCAGGCCGAAGGGCTCCTTCTTTCAGAGGGAGTTGCTGTTCCAGCCATGGCCTACAACTCGGCCCGGGAGAGGGTTCCTGCGTGGCCATTCAGGTGGGGGCTGCTGGGAAGCTGGCCTATGGGGACAGCCTCACCAGGAGCAGGCCAAAAGCAGAGCACCCCATTCCTTTGCTCTAGCCCAGTGTTGGCAAACCTTTTCGGCACTGAGTGCCAAAAAGGGAGCACGCATGCATCGGAAATCGGAAGAGCAGCTCCCTGGTGTTCATCTGCAACAGTGCCAGAAACCTGGTCTTCTGGTTTCTGGTGCTCCCCTGTGCACAAAGAGAACCCAGAAGAGCAACAGACAACAGCTGGTGTGCCCAGAGAGAGGGCTCTGTGTGCTACTTCCGGCACACGTGCTATAGGTTTGCCATCACGGCTCTAGTCTCAGCCCTTTGCCCCACTCCCCTGTTTGACAGTGCAGGCAGACCCACCACAGAAAGCCCACAGTTGGGGTTGATCTCAGGATGGCCCAGAAAGACTGGGGAGGGGGCTTTCCTTGCATATAAGGGCCCAGACTTTCCACAGTCCCTCACAAAGACTCATTTCTGGCAGAGTTTGGGGGGAGAGAAAGAAAGACTTCTGCTGCTTCTGCTGCTTTCCTTGCATGAAGCCAAAAGTCTCTCTCTCTCTCCCCCTCCCCCTGAGAATGGAGACAGTATCCTGCAATCCCAAATAAAGAATGATTGATCGGTAGAAAAACAGGGTGGGGAATTTTCCTGCACACTTTTTAAAATTTTTCCTCAGGGTCTCTGGTCCGCAGGATTTAAGATTATGAGTTTGGCGGTCCCTGAGGTCCAAAAGGTTGGCGACCCCTGATCTAAAGGTTAGTTTCACTTTTAGCAGATTTAACAGTTAGGGTCATCTAAAGGTTAGTTTCACTTTAGCAGGCTTACACAACTATATACATTCAATACATAACAGTTGCGATGGACCCAGCTGATTTTTGGCCTGTTTGAGGCCTTTTTCGGCCTCCCAAAGGCTTGAGGAAAGCTTCTGCAGGCTTTGCAGGATGAAAAATGGGCCCATTTCACCGCTTCCGGTATTTACAGGAAGTGACGAAACTGGCCTATTTTTCAGCCTGCAAAGGCTTTCCTCAAGCCTCTGGGAGGCTGAAAATCAGCTGTGAGGCACACGCACACGCAGTTTGCCTGCGGCTCGCGTGCCAGCACAAATGGCTCTGTGTGCCACCTGTAGCAGGCATGCCATAGGATCGCCATCACGGGTATAGAATGTGTTTGGGTTTGTTTTCATAGTCATAATGTACGCTGAAGATGGTGTTTAATTTCGTTGTACGAGGTGCAATTGACAATAAACTAAACTAAACTAAACTAAACTAAAGAAAGGTGTTTTTCAAAAGCAACTGGGCTTTCTGGGTTCTTTTTCCCCCTCTTGAAAATGTTCCGTTTTCTCAATACAGGCTCCTTTGGGAATCCTGGACTAGGCCCAGCCAGGGAAGTTTCGGGGTGGGGGGTGGTGGTGAGCAGGGAGAAGCTGGCATGCTGTCCTGGAGGTCAAAACCCCACCTGCCCTTGTGGGTCTTCCTCTGTCCAGGAGGTGGGGGGGGGCGTGGGGGATGAATTAGGGGCCACCTGGTGCGGAGAGGGGTGAGCCTCCTCCCTTTGGTACCTCTGGAAGGTGAGCGCTGTGGGGTTTTCCCTCAGAATGAGGTCCTGCCTGGTTTTCAAGGCCTCCGGCAATTCCAGCTGCATCACATACAGGACCTGCTTCAGCAGAGGGATGAAGAGTTGAAGGTGCATCTCGCCCAGGGCTGCCCTATAGCCCGGGATGTGGAAGGTCTCATAGATGACGTTCATGGCCTGGCAGGGAGAAACGGGGAGATGCCGCCCTCAGAGAAGGAAGCCCCACCTGGGCAGCGACTCCTTTTTTATCCTTGCCCCACCTTTTTTTCTTAATAATTTTTTAAATTTTATTCTATGCAAACAATCCAACTTCTGTTTAAACAGCGTGTTTTCTGGGTACAGATATCTTGTGCCATAACAATTACAATTAATACATATTCATTACTATAATATCAGTACTCTGTTCTTACTTTATGCTACTATGCATAATATCTCTACTTATTATAACAATCCCCTTCTTAGCGTATTTAATTCTTATTCACATGTTTACTATTTTTTTTTTGCTAGTCTCCTTTGGTTTCTAATTTCCGTTTTTGTTCTCCAGCCATTGATAAGATATTTCCCACATTATATAATATTCAGTTTGTTTGAGGGACAGGGGGAAGGCCATTTGAGCTGGTCCTTGACTTATGACCAGAATTGATGCTAACGTTTCTGTTGCTAAGCAAGACAATTGTTAAGTAAATTTTGCCCTCCCCCCATTTTATGTCCTCCCTCACCACAGTTGTTATTTATTTAAAAGATTTATTCTATATCTATATCTATATCTATATCTATATCTATATCTATATCTATCTATCTATCTATCTATCTATCTATCTATCTATCTATCTATCTATTTGTGTATCTATATCTATCTATCTATGTATCTATCTCTAGCTAGCTATCTCTATCTATATCTCTATCTCCATCTATCATCTTTCTATCTATCTATCTATCTATCTATCTATCTATCTATCTATCTATCTATCTATCTATCTATCTTTCTCCCTCTCTCTCCATCCATATTGATGTGAACAGTGTTAGTTCTGAGTATCATTCATATTAATCCAATGTATCACATATTAGTATTTTTATCACATTTACCAAATTTAAATAATCCTCTTATTTAAACATGCATTTTTTAAAAAAATGCCTAACCTCTATAAACCTTTAGTCTTTCTATCTATTTTTTTTTTAATTCTATAGAAAGAAGAAATTTCCCTTGTCTAATTTATTTCTGCTTCTCCAACTTACAAGGTTTACCTGGCCGCCCATTCGCTCTCAGTGACCCTGGTTGGTTTAAAAACAGGGCCATTGTAACTTTGAACTGTCACTAAATGAATGATTTTAAGTCAAGGTCTACCTGTACCAAGAGGATACAGAGGATCTTGCACAGTGGTGGGATTCATTTTTTTTTTTTACCACCGGTTTGGTGGGCGTGGCTTGGGCATGCACCAAACACGCACTTTGCGCAGGTGCAGAGGCATTCCAACTCACCACTCCCGGTCACTTCAGCAGCTGCTGCGCGGCACTCTGCTGTGCCGCACAAAGCAGCTGCTTGTTCTGTCTTTAGATTGCTGGCTGAATATAAAGACAGGCAGGCAAACTCTACAAAGGCTTCCATACAAAGTTTCTTTATTGGATCATGGGGCATCCTCAAGGTGTAACTCACAGTTATGTCGAGACAGTTCATCTAATTTCCAAATCTTTGCATAGCTGACTTCATAGTGTAAAATTATAGCGATCTTCATGCCATAACGATGGAGCAAAGGTAAGATACCAGCACGCTGCTGGGGTCCAATCAGGAGAAAGGAAACTCCCCCAACCCAACCAAGAGTCAATTCAGTGACCAATCAGGATTACAGATGTGACCACCTGACATGAACTACATTTCCCAGGATGCATTAACTACATTTACCATGAGGCATTCCCTTAAGGGGACAGCTCCCAATTCCTACTTAACTATCTCAATTCCCAATTAACTATATACTGTCTGGACAGCACAGCTGTGCTTCAAAAGCAGGGAATAAAGGTGAGTATTGGAACCCTGGGTGGAGAGAACCGATTCGGTCTCCGCTGCTCATCGGCGCTACCCACTCGGCAGAACCGGCCCACACTGGTAGAGTACCACCACTGGTCTTGCATCTTGAGGAAACTTGAGGAAATGTCTCTGACAGGAGATTCATTCAATGATAAAGTGAGAGCTGGGGATGGGGCCCTGTCCACCCACCCCTGCCCTTTTCCTGTGCTTCCTTGTTTTTGAGCACAGCTGATTTGCATGGGAGAGAAGTTTGCCGCTGATCAGCTGTTTTATTCATCGGGGCTACAACAGAAGGTAAGCATTATAGCTAAAAATGGTCTTTCCTAAATGCTCTGTGCGCATGCGCAAAGCACAGGCTCACTGAACCAGTTGTTACACTGGTTGAATCGCACCACTGGAAAGAGCCCTGATCTACTGATGTTGCTTTCTTTCTCTGGTCTAGTTAACCATGATCTTACTTACTTACAGATTAAGAGTTGGAAGGGACCTTGTAGGTCATCTAATCCAACCCAAGCAGGAGACCCTACACCAGGGGTCCCCAAACTTGGCAACTTTAAGACTTGTGGGCTTCAACTCCCAGAATCCTCCAGCAAAGGGAGAGTCACTGTGGCCTTTGCTTCCACAAGCCCACCAAGCACCAGTTGGGTTTTTGGCCTCAAGGCCAGCCCGGAGCCCTTAGGACAGTGGTCTCCAAACTTGGCCGCTTTAAGACTTGTGGTCCAGCTTCTCTCTCTCTCTCTCTCCCTCCCTCCCCTCTCTCTCCCTCCCTCCCCTCTCTCTCCCTCCCTCCCCCCTCTCTCCCTCTCTCTCTCCTCTCTCCCTCCTTCTCTCCCTCTCCCTCTCTCTCTCCCTCTCTCTCCCTCACAAGTCTTAAAGTGGCCAAGTTTGGAGACCTCTGCCCTACAACATTGAAGTCACCTTACACAAAATTAGGATTCAAAGGTGTTTTCAGCAGGAATGTGCTGATTTATTTGCACTGCGAGTGGTTTCCAGTGCCAGGAAGATTTTGACCTTGGATAGGGAAGCATTGGCAGTGGGCTTTCTGTGTTCTGCCATCTGTAACTCCAACTGGGATATCCATCAGAGCTGGTGAGTCATCTGGGACTTTTTCTGGCCTCTTGGCAGAGCAGGTGGTAGACCTGGCCAGGAAGCCTTGGCACTAGTTCCTCTCCTAGGCCGGGAGTCCTCCTGCTTACAATTACGCATCGTTTACTGTTATCAATGGTTGTTTATACTATATTGTTTGCTTTCTTTGCTACCCGGGCTACAATAAATAATTTTTAAAAAAAGTGTTATCAAACTATTGTATTTTAACATACATCAAAGCTTTATGGGGAAATCCTTTAATGTTAATGCCAAATTATGTTCCAAAATGTTTGGGTTTGACTATTTTTGAGGAGTTACACTTGCATCAATTCCAAAACGCTTCTAAGAAAATCATTTTGAGAAAAGTGGAAAATAATAGCACTCCTGAGAGGCATAATTTATTTAGCTTTGAAAAAGCAATCTTAGGTATAACCAAAAATTGATATAATAAATTCTCCTTTGGCATAAATGCTATGACAGTATGCAACAATAATATATTATTAGTTATTTCCTTTAATGCAGATTGGCCCAAATCCTGGAGCCTCCTCCGCACATGCCCATCTAAGTGAGATGCAAGGGGCACCATCTGCAATGTAAAATGGGCTGATTCACTGGCCAAGGAGGGCATTGATTGCGTTTTAAGAATGAAATTTAGTTACCAGCCCAACTAAGGTGTAGTCTAGGCAGGGTTCAGAACAAAGGGTAACGGTCAAATAATGGTTGCCTTTCCCCCATGAGAAAAGCAATGAGAGAGAAGGGAGAGAGGGAGGGGAAGGGAGGTGAAGTGGGGGAGAGGAGGGGAGGGAGAGAGGGAGGGGGAGAGAAAGAGAGAGAAGGAGAGAGAGGGGGAGGGGGAGAGAGGGAGGGAGAGGGAGGGAGAGAGAGAAGGAGGGAGAGAGGGGGAGAGAGGGAGGGGAAGGGAGGAGGAGGGGGGAGGGGGAGGGAGACAGGGAGGGGGAGACAGGGAGGGAGAAGGAGGGAGAGAGAGAGAGAAGGAGGGAGAGAGAGGGAGAGAGAAGAAGGGAGAGGGGGGAGAGAGGGAGAGAGAAAGAAGGAGAGAGGAGAGAAAGAGAGGGACGGGGAGAGAGGGAGAGAGAAGGAGGGAGAGACAGGAGAGAGGGCGAGAGGGGGAGAGAAAGAAGGAGAGAGAGGAGAGAGAGGGAAAGAGAGGGAGGGGGAGAGAGATGGAGAGGAGAGAGTGGGAAGGAAAGAGAGAGAAGCTCAGAAGAAGGACCAGCACCCATGGCTCTGGGTGGGATGTCACCTACCGCCAGCGACATGGTTGTGCTTTCTTCTCTGTCCCCAGAAAGGTCCTTCATCTGCAGATTCTTTAGTAAGAGGTGCAGGATTTGCACAGCCACCTTGGGGCTGGAAGCCATGGCTGTCCAGAGCTGATTGGCCTGCCTGGGAAATCAGCAACACGAGAGTGAAAGGTGCAAATGGGGAAGGGTCTCAAAGGGGAGAAGGAGCCCGCAAGGAAGTGTAGGAGGCCCTACCTGTTGAGGGGTATGGAATAGGACAAGCAGCTCTGGATGACTTCCTCCAGGCGACATGGGATCATCATAGTTAGAGCCTTCAGCACTACCTTCTGGGTCCAGCAGGAAACATGGGCAGGTTGCAAGCACATGTAGATGCCTGCAACCACATCGTTGACCTGCAGCCATAGAAGAAACATTGAGTTAAGCTGTCCTCCGAGAAAGAGCTTGTAGATCCCCATGTTGGCTGCAAGGATCATGACATTCGGCCTCCCTGGGCTTGGGGGAGGCTGCCTAACCCCATTTCTGCCTTCTTTTCATGGCTGGATTAGTTAAGCATGGACATTCTCTATGATGCACAGGACACGGGCTTGCTGAAACTTGTTGTGGCCTGCCAGTGGCCAGCACAGCTGGCGGCAGAATCGGACAGTGAGAAGGTTGGGAGGAACATGGGCCAGTCCTGGAGTCTGGAGAAGGCTCTGATGAATGCTCTGTGTCAGAGGCAGAGATGGGGCCAGGGCCTTCCGACAGTTATCAGCTGCCTTCAGAGTCAGATATCAGTGGGGCAGAAGAACAGCTGGAGCCTGTTCCCAATGTGCACATGCGCAGAGCTGCCAGGAGAAGGGAATAGCTAAGGAACAAGGGTCGACTCGGGAGTAAAGGCACAGGTGGATGGTGACTGGCCCCTCCTATAAGGAATAAAGAGGAGTGAAAGGGGAGCGCAGGAGACAATTCATTCATTTAATTAGTGTGCAGATCTATTTGTGACTCTCAGAGACTCTTTTGCCAAGTATTTCCTTGTCGCGCTTGGAAGTGATATCCCAGGGTCTGGCAGCTCTCCAAGCCTGATAAGGTCTGTGGTTGTAAATTCACCCTTGAAAGACTGTGTGCCGGGATTTTGCTGGATGTGAATGTTAGGAATTCACATTAGCCTAATAAAAAGGGGTTTTGTGGGGCCAAGGAGTCTTCTTTGTGATTTTGTGAAGCCTAGGTCAGAACAGGATTCTCCATTCACTATTAGTCAGTTCTGCAGCCTTTGGTGTCCTGCGCTACTTCAGAGGGCACCAGGCGCTTTACCACATTTGCAAAGAAGATGAAAACAAGTGCAAGCACGCTTGCACAAGTGCAAGTTAAGGTTTGTGCTCAGCTGAGGGGTGGGTGCTAGCGGGTGGGCGGGTCATGGGGCAGTACAGCCTGGATTAATTGCTTTGGGGGAAGTGCTTTTGGGGGGGACATTTCCCTGTGGACCACCAAAATATTCCCGCAGACCACCAGTGGTCTCCGGGCCACCCGTTGGTGACCACTGACCAAGGGGATTACGCTGTGTGTTAACAGGGTGCCTACCTACCAGCAGTGGGATCCTACCTGTTGCACTACTGGTTTGGTGATCGCATGCACATGTCTGTGCACCTAACACACATGCACTTAATGTGCGCCTGCAGCTTTCCCCACACCAGCTGAGGCCTGCAGTGCCAATCAGCTAAGAGTATAAAGAAGAGGTGGGTGGGTGGGTGGGAGGCCTTGTCCTGCACTTTTCTCTTCCTTCTCCTCTCAGATAATCATTGGAGGCTTTTTTTTTTTACTACCGGTTTGGAGAAACCGGTCCAAACCGGTAGCATGCCACCACTGCTCCTTACCCAAAGGATGTTTGCTGCCATGGCTGCTCTGCCTGCCCACCTCCTTGGAACATGCCACCAGTCAGTGGCCCTGGAGAGCTAGGGCAGGGTAGAGGTGAGGGAGTGGCATAAGGAGGCCTCAGCCATGGCAACTCTCAGAGTGATTTGGGTCGGTCTAGTGCAGGGATGGGCAAACTTTTTGGCTCGGGGGGCCTCACTGACTTTTAAAATTTGACAGATGGGCCGCCACCTGTGTCAAAATGCCTGTCATTACAAGTCAAAATCAAATGAATGCAATCATTCAATCATTCACATCAAACCTTAATTCTGTACCAATCTTTGGCGGGCCGGATTAAAAAGACCAATGGGCCGGATGTGGCCCCTGGGCCGCAGTTTGCCCACCCCTGGTCTAGTGTCTTTCTGCCCCCGACGCTCCCTCTTTACAGGGCAGGCAAAAACGGGCCATCTCCAGGTGAGGAGGGGAGGAAAGGCGGGGCATCAGTTAGCAAGTAAATAAATGGCAAGATCCTGCCGTAGCTTAGGACCTGGGAAAGCATTTCCTGTGACCTGAATCCGTTACAACTGAGTGGAGCCCAGGGCTGCTCAGAGTAGAAGAGACCAGAAAGACAAGGATTTCTTTTTGTTCACCCGTTCACTGTGGTGGGTAACAGTGTGAGATTAGTCCTGCTTGGAGTCAGTCACAGTCGGAGGGGACTCTAAGCTCAGAGCAAGCAACCCAGAAACAAATGCTGCCTTTTAAAAGCAGGAAGAATCCGAGGGAGGGGATGGACGCTGCGGCTGAAAACCTTCTCACCCTTTCCACCTTCATGGCATGGTTCTGCAGAACTGCACTGAGGACCTCTTCTGCTGCCACCAGGACTTCTGGACTGGACCCTCTCAAATAGTCCAGAACAGAGAGCAGGAGGTTGGTCAACTGAACGGAGAAGAGCTGGTCACCGCAATGCTACGAAGAGAAACACGAGATTTGGGCAGGCGTCCATCACGCCCTTTCCCCCAAACGGACAGGGCCAGAGAGCCTCCCATACAGCCCTGTGCCCTTCCCCAAGAGTTTCTTCTGCGAGGGGTTCAAAAGGCCAGGCTGGAGAAGACCTGGGAAAAGAGCCTGCAGACTAAACGAGACTTGGGATAGGTCAATCCAGCCCTGACGAGATGGAGTGGTGTTTCCAACTGGTTGTAGTGTCCGGCAGTCACATGATTGCAATTTAGGGCCATTTCTGCTTATTTCAGTCAAAGGAACGCCCGTTGTTTCGCCCGTTGAATGCCCACCAGGGAAGCTGCTTTTGCTCAATGAACATGGTGACTCACTTAATGACCGCTGCACAAAGTGTCATAAAACCAGGCCTGACTTAAGTTATGACTGCAAGGGATGGAAGTTCTGGTCCCAACTGCGGTCATAAGTGGAGGAACTAGTTAGCACTTCGCACCCCTTGAAGGCAGCCACCATACCGTTGCTATTTGCCAACTGCCACCTGGTGCTTGACCAGCAAGGCTGTCTTCTTCCTGGAATTTCACGCTCCTCTTCATCGGCCACTTCCGCTTCTTCTGCTTGCTTGTCCTCAGACCTAGAGCAGAAGGGAGCAGGTGTCGTTACGATCGCGTACAGCGTTCAGGACTGGCCGGTTGGGTTCTTGGTGTTCCCTGAGCTCGGCTCTTTCCTCCCAGGGCCCCAAAAAACCCACTATGGAATCTGCCCCATGCAGATTCCCTCCCAGCGGCAGCAGAGAAAGAGATAGCTAATATTATAGGCCTCACCTTTACAGTGCAGTAAGATCTCATAGAGGCAGCTGACTCCTTGCACGGCGAAAGAACTAATGCCCTCCACCCGGTCATTGCACAGACCAATCAAGAGGGCTGTCAGGTGGGCCAACTTGTTAAATTCCCGAGAGAGCTAAGGAAACAACGGGGAGAAGAGGGAATAATTGAGACTGAAGCGGGTTCTGGGTGCTTCTTAGCCGACGCCTGCGCAAAGCTGATTCTTGCTCTACATCAGAGAGACCCAGAACCTTCCGAAAGTGCATCCCGCACACCCACCGTGGGCCGTACTGAAAGTCAAGACTTCTGGACTGTTGGGTTGGCCATGCTTAATGTCGCCTAATGGCTTCAGCCACCCAAACTCCCCACAATATGTGCCTTTTTGTTTTGATTTATAACCTTGCTTTTAAACCCGTTTTGCAATGTGTCAGATAAGAATCTTAACCACAAATGAATCAAATTGAGGCGGTTTGCTTGAAACAGGAACCTCATCAAGCTGAAATGGGTTTATTATTTCTTTTTCATTTATGAACTCTAGGAAAACCAACTGAAATCCTGGTTCTGAATACAGTATAGTTGCCCATCCAAATATTAACCAGGCCTGATCCAGCTTAGTTTCTGAGCCCAGACAAGATGCATCTGGTGATCAGTCTGCAGAGTGGATGATGGGAGGGAGGGAGAGAGGGAAGGGAAGGGGTCCAGACTGGAATGGGAGATGATCTGCCTTCTCTCCGAAGATGGCGATCCTCTGGCCTTTCAATTAGTGTCTCCTGCTTATCAGAACCAATACCCAAATAGCCACTGCATTTTTTAATTTTTTAAAATTTTTTAAAATTTATTTTATTTTGTCAAGCGATTATAAGATAACAGGTATAAACATAGTTATGAATACATGAAATGGATACATATAAGAAAAATAAAAAGAAGCAATAGGACAGAGACGGTAGGCACATTGGTGCACTTATGCACGCCCCCTACAGACCTCTTAGGAAAGGGGTGAGGTCAATAGTAGACAGTCTAAGGTTAAAGTTTTTGGGGTTTGGGGAAGAAACCACAGAGTCAGGCAGAGTATTCCAGACATTGACCACTCTGTTGCTGAAGTCGTATTTAGTAGTTAGTAGACTTTTGTCCATGTGTCTGTGTCCCGTACCGTACTGAGGAAAACCCTGAACCTCTTAAGGAGATGAAGCTCCAATTAGGAAGGCGAGCAGCTCAATTTATGGATACTCACATCGAGGTGGAAGCGGTCAGCGACAAACTTCAAGAGCTTCATTGCTGTCTCCACGGCTCTTTCGCGCACATGATCTAACTTCGATACCATCCATGGTTCTATGAGCTATCGAAGGAAAGGCAGGTAGGAAAACGTGGTCGTCGCGTGAAGCAGGCAGGGCCAGCCCAAGGAAGAACAGGCCCTGGCGTAGAGGCACCACCCCGTCCCTCCTCTCCCAGGAGTCTCCACGCGGCCATCCAGGAGTGGAATTTGGGGGGTTTTGTGCACTGTGCAGAATCTTAGCTAGATGATCTCCCGAACCCCCAGCAGCCCACCCACCCCTGCCTATGTCAGGAAGGGGCTTTGACCCCCTCCAGAGAGTCACCCTTCAGGCGCCACCTTTCCTCTCTGCCTACCTCCATCATGTGCTTGAGTTCGCTGGGCTGTGGGTTCTCCAAGAGCAGAGCCTGCAGCATCTCCTCGAAGCAGTCGACCGTCTGCTGGTAGCTGGCCTGAGGCACAAGCAGGCCAGTGAGACTAAGGCCACCATGGGAGCTGTCCCGGGTGGGCAAACAAGACGAACCATGTGCGGGGGGGGGGTACAACCCAAGGAAGCTTCCTCCACCCTGGAGAGCTTCTCGGGACAGAATTGCTGGCCGCTGCAACCCCCTTTTCCGTACACGTGAACAAACCCTTTGCTTTCACCCTCCTCTCCCTGTCAGGTTCATATATTTATTCGGCAGAGACCAGGACTTTCTCTCTTTTTCGTGAGTGAGGCTGCTTCCCATAATAGCATGGAATAACCCGGGCACTGAGATGTTCAGACTAGGGCCAAACAGCACCTAGCAAGTCCATGGGGAAAGGACACTCACCTCCCATAACCCAGAAGTCATTGCCCTCCCGTACAGTACTTAGCCAAAGGGCATCTCCATAACCGAACCATGGTTTCCCCACCCTTTTTTCCTGCTCCTTTGTGTAGGAATTTTTTTTTTTGAAATAGTTCTATGTAAAATAAATTTATACATAGATTTGCATCTTGTTAGGCCAGATTACCAAAGCAGAGTCATAACCCCTGCAGGAACTATCATTCAGAAATAAAAAACTCAGCCTGGGAAATTAGTCGGGCTTGGATAAGATACTCCAAGGATTCACCTTTATGTCCGTCGTCCTCTCGTTCTTGCAAGACTGTCCTTCCAGGACCTCCATTGGGGCCAGGCAAAAGACACTTTTGAAAGAAGCATGAAGGAGGCTGGATTTCTTCTGTGGCTCAAGGAGAGGCTTCAGGTGGCTGGTGGAAAAGAAACACACCTGAGATTTAGCTGCCACAAGAAATGATGAAACACACCTGACTTTGCCCAATGGATTACAGCCTCGCTTTCAACTTCAAAATGAACAGAAAGACAACATGTTTGAATCCTGAGGGTGTATAAGAGCCACATTCTTGGCTCTGGAAACATGGAATTCTTCACAGAGGGGATTCCACCCTTTTACCTTCAGCATGTTCTGAGAATGCATTGAGCCTCCCAGCAAGGGTTACTCCCAAATTCCAGCAATTGGTTTGCTGCCCAGTTGCTGGTTGGGCAGGGCCATGATGGGCGTGGCCTACTGGAACTTCCAGGATGGGCATTTTTGGCCCTCCAGGATCCTGAAACAGCCCTATTTCCAGACTTCCAGAAGGCCCATGCTATCCGGTCTTTTGGATGTTCATGTTCCCAAGATACAAACCGACAAACTCTGAGGTATGCAGTCTTTTATTTGTACAAGTAACGCACATCCCATCCAGCGATAATGGCTTGAATTCCAATCTAGGTTAGCGCTGGGAGCGTTTGCCTTCCAGTGCACCTTATAGCAGGGGTCCCCAACCACCAGGCCCCGGACCGGTCCCGGTCCGTGGATCATTTTGTACCGGGCCACAAAGAATGAATAATCGTGATTAAAATATATATAAAAATATGTTTTTGCTTCCGGGTGTCTTATTTTGAAAGACAACTGCTTCCGCCCTCACCTAACTTCCGCGCTTGACTCTTTGGCACGTATTTATCCTACATCAGCAATGCAAGCTAGCCCTCGCAAAATGAGCCAGAAACAGAGTTCACTGGAGAGGTTTTTTGGAAAGGGTAAGTTACGGGCTCATCGCTTATTTATTTACTGTTATTGGAACCTTCACGCCCCTACCCGGTCCTTGAAAAAGTGTTTCTGCGTGATACTGGTCCCTGGTACAAAAAAGGTTGGGGACCACTGCTTTATAGCATAAACCCACCCATCTAATCGCAGCTACCTCCCGTAGATGGCCCTATTCTAATTACACGTATTCAACATTTCCTAATATGGCTAATTAGTTACTCCCATGCCATAACCTCAAACGCTCTGCATCCTCCCTATCACTGATCCCCACTACTTCCCTGAACACCCTGTAACACCCAGTGTATAAATCCCCCCTCCCTGCACTAATCCCCCCTCCCCGCACTAAAACCTTATACAGTGGAGTGCCCCGGTCATGTGGGAATTCCCATTCAGCCTCCCACTCCCAGGTAGCAGTGCGAGGCACGTCATAGGGAATCCCCGTTCTGCATCCACTTCGCTGCTGGTGGGAGGGACCCACGATTAACATCTTTTATTCTTTTATTACTGGTGGGGGGTAGTTGAATATGGGGCCCGACAGCCCATTTTTTTTGCATTCCCAGAGCCTCTGCGCAGACCCTGCACTTATCTGCATCCAAAACGGGCCCCGTGAAAACTCCTGGGTGGACGGGGCCAGCCTGTCGGTTCAACTACCAGTTTGGCCAACCAGATGTAAATTTAACATCCGGTTCACCTGAACTGGTTTGAACCGGATGAACCCCACTCTGCTCCCCCCCTCCCGAAAGTCTAAGGCAGGACGATGAGAAAGATGGAGCTGCCCCTCGCCTGGACTCCACACGAATTTTCCTCTGCCTCATTTCAGTCACTTCCGTCTTCTTGCTGCCCCCATTTTCCCAGCTCTATTATTGGGAAATAATCGGAAGTATTTTGGACCCTTCCCCACCTTCCCACCCCCCAAAATTAAATCTCAACAGAAAATGGGGTCCACACACTTCAAACTACACCGAGGTTCATTTAGCAGGCCCAGTGAACAGAAGAGCCTCCTGCTCCTGCTCCTCCTCTTCCTCAGTTTTTGGATGATTTACTGTTTATGGGAGGTTTTTCTAGAGTTGCCACTTGCATTGCATTTGCTCCATTTAATTCGTGAATGTGAAATAAAGGGATCCATTTATCACTTCACTATTTTCCCCGGCTTATTGTCAGCTTGTCCGCTGCCTATGGAGATACTCAGACATCCCAGTTAGGGTGGTCTTGAAAAAGCACCTTTGAGACAGCTTGTCCCTTGTTGCCATGAACTGCAAATTAATTTTTCCTTTTTTTCTACCGTCTTGCTGGAGGCAATTCAGGATAAAGGACATAAAAATTGTTGTTCCTGCCACCCCCCCCACCCCCCGGTTTTGACCTCCAAAGTGAGGTGCTAAACCATATTTAGTCTCCTCAAAAGAAGCCATCGTGTTATGACGCAGGGTGCTCTTGAATGTACAGAATGGCCAAAATCACTCCCCACCATATCCCACCCCGCAGGAAGTGAGTATTCTGCCCCACTACCTGAGTTCTTTAGCGATATACATGGCATCTTGACGCACTGTGCTGCCCAGAACATGGACGGGTTCCCTTTCTATCAGCACCTGCCAGCCAGTGTGGGAGAGAGAGAACGAGAAGTGAGGGTCAGCCGGAGAGGCCCACTCACCTGGGTGACCTCCAAGGGCCTGGAGACAAGCAGGGGATGTGGCCTCATTGGAAAGTGAGCTGCTCTGAAGAACAACCATTTTCTTTTCTGGATGGTCGACACCAGAGGTGGTATTCAGCAGGTTCTGACCAGTTCTGCAGAACCGGTAGCAGAAATTTTGAGTGGTTCGGAGAACCGGCCAATCCCACCTCTGACTGGAGATTTTACAGTATCCTTCCCCTGCCACGCCCACCAAGCCACACCCACAGAACCGGTAGTAAAAAAAAATTGAATACCACCACTGGTCGGCACTTGGGGCCAAGGCTTTCCTCAGGGGCCCTTCTCTGCCGTCTCCCATCCGGCCACATACCCAGGGATGGGATTCTACCGGTTCACACCGGTTCAGGTGAACCGGTCACTTCGGTGATCATTTGGCACTGCCCACCCGCCCCCTGTTTTTTCCTGCGCTTTAGTTCCTTGTTTTGGAGCACAGCTGATTCACGCGGCAGAGTGGTTTTGCCGCGCCTCAGCTGTTTTACTCACCAGGGCTGCAGCAGAAGGCAAGTATTAGGGCTGAAAATGGGCTTTTTAAAAGGGTGGGCACGCAGGCAAAGCTCACGATCACCGAACCAGTTGTTACACAGGTTGAATCGCACCACTGCACATACCTGTCATCAGTATGCATTGATCCTTGCCAAGGGGAAGCCCGACAGGAGGGTCCCGGTCTGGAATCTGTGGTTCTAGGTTGCCTCCAATTGCACGCCCCCATTTCCCCACGCCCCTAGGCTAAAAACCTTGGGCTGAAAAAGTCAAGGCTTTCCCCACCTGTGATGCTGAGACTCCTCTGGTCCCTGATCATTGGCTGCTTGAGCCCCCACCCACCTCGTCTCCTGACGGCCAGAAGCTCATAAGGGACACACACAACTTTTAAGCAGAAAGACCTTCTTGCTGGCAGAGGTTGCTCATGCAGTTACTTCGTGCCAGAAAGAAAGGTGTCCTCCAGAGCTTCATCTTTGCAACCGTGTTGTAGTGTGGAACCCGATAGAACAATATTATTAAATCTTAAAAGTTACTATCTAAATGAGGCATCCATAAAATATACAAATAAAGAATTGGATCAAACCCGAACAAGAAATAATATAATAATGCAGACAAAAGAAATCGAAAGATTAGATTAGATTAACAAAGTTGGAAGGGACCCTGTAGGTCATCTAGGCCAACCCCCAGCCCAAGCAGGAGACCCTACACCATTTCTGACAAATGGCAGTCCAATCTCTTCTTGAAAGTCTCAAGTGATGAAGCTCCCACAACTTCTGAAGGCAACTTCTGTTCCATTGGTTGATTGTTCTCCCTATCAGAAAGTTTCTCCTTATTTCCAGGTTGAATCTCTCCTTGTTCAATTTTCATCCATGGTTCCTTGTCTGGCCTTCAGGGGCTTTGGAAAATAGCTTGATCCCTTCCTCCTCTCTGTGGCAGCCCCTCAAATATTAGAAGACTGCCATCCTGTCTGCCCTGGTCCTTCTCTTCACTAGACTAGCCAGGCCGAGTTCCTGTAACTGTTCATGATATGTTTTAGTCTCCAGTCCCCTAATCATCCTGGTTGCTCTTCTCTGCACTTTTTCTAGAGTCTCAACATCTTTTTTATAGTGTGGTGACCCAAACTGGATGCAGTACTCTAGATGTGGACTTACTAAGGCTTTATAGAATGGTATTAGTATCTCACTGGATCTTGATTGTATCCTTCTGTTAATGCAATTTAGCTTTACATTGGCTTTTTTGGCTGCCACTGCACACTGCTGGCTCATATTTAATTGGTTGTCCACTAAGAGTCCAAGATCCCTCTCACAGTTACCAATTGAGCCCGGTTTCACCCTGTCTCTATGTGTCTTTTTGGTTTTTCTTGCCTAAGTGTAGGACTTTACTTTTCTCTACACTGAATTTCATTTTGTTCGACAGGGCTCAGTGTTCAAGTCTGTCAAGATCCATCTGGATCTTGAGCCTATCTTCTAGGGTGTTAGCTGTCAAAATTCCAGCATTTGAGAGGCTGCCACAAAGAGGATGGAGGCATTATTTTCCAAAAGACCAGAGGGCAGGACAAGAAACAATGGATGGAAATGAATCAAAGGAGAGAAGCAACCTGGAATGATACTGTGATATTACCAGATAATTTCTCTGGCAATATCACACTACTAACTAGAGCATACAAAACCTTTGCTAGACCAATACTTGAATACAGCTCATTGGTGTGGAACCCGCATTATGTATCTGATATTAATACAGTTGAGAAAGTCCAGAAATATTTCACAAGAAGAGTTCTCCACTCCTCTACTTGTTGCAGAATACCTTATGCCACCAGACTTGAAATTCCAGACCTAGAAAACCTAGAACTACGCCGCCTTCAGTCTGATCTAAGTGTAGTATATAAAATCATACATTGCAATGTCATACCTGTCAATGAATACTTCAGCTTCAACCATAACAATACAAGAGGAAATAATAGATAGAAGCTCAAGGTTAATTGCACCAAACTTGATTGCAGGAAATACGACTTCAGCAACAGAGTGGTCCATGCCTGGAATACCCTACCTGACTCTGTGGTTTCTTCCCCAAACCCCAAAAACTTTAACCTTAGACTGTCTACTATTGACCTCACCCCTTTCTTAAGAGGTCTGTAGGGGGCGTGCATAAGCGCACCAACATGCCTACCCTCCCTGTCCTATTGTTTCTTTTTATTTTTCTTAATGAAGGAGAAACTTCCTTAACAGTGAGGTCAATTAACCAGTGGAACGGCTTGCCTTTAGATGCTGTGGATGCTCCAACACTGGAGGTTTTGAAGAAGAGACTGGACAGCCACTTGTTTGAAATGGTGTAGGGTCTCCTGCTTGGACTAGAAGACTTCCAAGACCCCTTCCAGCTTTATTCTGATTGACTTTGCAGATAGATGCATCTCTGAATACCTCCCTGAATTTTTAAGAATTTTTTCCCAGCCCATTAGAAGCTCTGTCATTTTTGAAAGCATCGAGAATTTGGTTCAGAAATAGCTGTGAAATGATGACCCAGTGGGTTGTCAATTGTCTAGTCTCTACTGTGTGCCTCCAGAAGTGTGGCCAATGCCAACCCACTCCAAGCTGAGTCAACCTTGAGTCCCCTCGGGATCAAACTCCAGGCTGTGGGCAGAGTCAGCCTGCAATACTTGCATCCTAACCACTGCACCACCACATAAAGCAGCCTTGCAGGGCCAGCCCTTGGATTTGTCAGCAGGAAGTCAAGACAGCCTACTTACTATTAGGCACTCCACCAGCTGTGCTTTTGGGTGCAGCCGTATTGCTCCGGCTTTGCCCGTGGCTGTGATGGCTTCAAGGAGCATGAGCACAGCTATCAGAAAGTTCTTCTTCAGAGTCAAGTCCTAAAACCAAGAGTAGAAAATGGCTCAGACGTCATTGTGAAAAATCCTGATCAGGGAGCTACAGCAGGCACATACAGAAACTCAGCCAAGTCCAGGATCTTCCAACTTAGGTAAAGGTGAAGGTTCCCCTCACACCTACATGCTAGTCATTTCTGGCTCTAGGGCATTCATCTCTGTTTCAAAGCTGAAGAAGAGCCAGCGCTGTCCGAAGACATCTCCATGGTCATGTGGCCAGCACGACTAAATGCCGGAGGCTCATGGACTGCTGTTTCCTTCCTACCAACGGGGCCCCCTATTTTTCTACTTGCCTTTTTTTTACATGCTTTCGAACTGCTAGGTTGGCAGAAGCTGGGACAAGGAATGGGAGCTCACTCCGTTACGCGGGGCTAGAGATTCGAACCGCCGAACTGGCGACCTTTCTGATCGACAAGCTCAGCGTCTTAAGGCACTGAGCCACCGTGTCTTCCAACTGGGCACCCTTCAAAAATGCGTCTTCTCAGAAATGATCCTGCTGGCTGGGGTATCCTGGAAGGCTAAGCCACCTAGCACAAAAAGTGTTGGTCCTTTCCTTTTATTGTACAGGAGCCCTGAGGAGGAGACTGTGTTGGAGGAGTTGCCTCCCCCACAGCTCTGTATGGCTGTGCCATCAGGTTGGCAAGAGGAAGGTGGAGGAGGAGGAGGAAGAGGAGGAGAAGGATTAATATGAGGGCTATCCACAAAATAGATTACGTTTTCATCTGTAGCAAGAAGGGGCGGAGCTAGCGCAGCCATCTTTGGTCTGTGCACGCGCCGCTCAGTCTGCATCTAGTCGTGCTAGTGGGAGGTTCGTATCATTGCCCGTTATTTCACAGCAAATGTTTGAAACGTGTGCTGCAATTGAAAATCCCACGAGTTGTGAGGTGCGATCCGTGATAAAGTTTTTGTTGGCAAAAAACCATAAACCGATTGAAATTTCCATCCTCGTAAGAAAAGCAATTCAGAACAAGCGTAGAGGAAAGTTAAGCTACCAAAAATTTTGTTTTTGCATGTCAATGCCCGACCCCACATAGCAAATCCCACTCGAGAAGTCCCGAATGCTTTCAAGTGGGAGATTTTTCCTCATCCGCCCTACAGCCCCGATCTTGCACCAGGAGGCTGAATTTTATGACAAGGGAATTACAAAGTTTGTTCACCGCTATGATAAGTGCCTCAATTGGTTCGGTGAATATGTTGAAAAGTAGTATTTAAGTGTCACTTTCAAGTGTATATAATAATTTTTTTCCCCTACACTTTGTTTTTTTTCTATCGAAAAATGTAATCTATTTTGTGGATAGCCCTCGTAAAAGAAGGAGGTGGTAGGTGCCTGCGCTGCTCTTTTAGGCCTGTTTCCCCCACTTTATTTCACTGTTCTGGCCCCCAGGAAATGGGGATACCAAGTGGATGTTTCCTCCCATGGGTATGCCACAGCTGGAAGCTCCTGACGAAGCAGATTGAAATGCCAGACATTATAAACAGGAAACTTTGCCCAGAATAAGAAGACAGAACCAGAAACTACTGTCCTGGCCACCAAAAGGCCGTGAGCTGCACCATCACAGCCACACCCAGCTCCAGAACCTCTCGCTTCCCCCAGCCAATCTGGGCTCCTTCTTTCCCTGGCGAGCTCCCTTTTCCCCACTGCCTTTCGGGCAAGGAGAAAAGGTTGCTGACCGATGCAGTTCCATGGTTCAAAGCTTGAAATGTACCGAGGGGTCGATAAGGAAGTATTCGATCATCTTGGCGACGATGAGCTCCACTCGTGGCAGGACTTCCTCCTTGATCCCCAGAGCCACTCGGCCGTAGCAGAGCAGGAGCGTGTTCCGTTGGCAGAGCTGTGGAGAAGAAGGCCCAGCCGTCGCATCAGCTCCCCCAAGCAAGGCGTTTCCCACCAGCAGTGGGATCCTACCTGTCCCGCTACCGGTTTGAGGATCGCGCACACCTAATGCGTGCGCATGCAGCATTCCCCACACCAGCGGGGGCCTGCAGCGCCAATCAGCTGAGAGGATAAAGAAGGAAAAATGCAGGAGGGAGTGGGAGGGCCAATCCTGTGCTTTTCTTTCTTCTCTCAGCAATTTTTTGTTTCTTCCTCTCAGCTGATCCTCAGAGGCGTTTTTTTTTACTACCGGTTCGAGTGAACCGGTCCAAACCGGTAGCATACCACCACTGGTTCCCACCCTTCTTGTCAAGGGCAGCAGTCTGGTGGCTGTGTGCCCAGAATGAGGAGGGCACAAGAACCGGTCTGGCGCAAGGGAGCTGAAGACAGGCCGCAGCCGATGTGGCGAGGGCAGAAGTCACCGAGCCCAAGGAACAAGCTCACCTTATGAAGACAGATGCTTCCAGACCCACCTTTATATCCCCCAAGGGGCGCTGTCAAAATAAAAAGAGGATTAATGATGTTCTGAGCATTGACTTGTTGCTCTCTAACAGTACCTGGGTGGTTTTAGACACGGGGACCTCTGCGGTGGAAAGAGTTTTGCCAAAACTGTCCAGTGCCTTAAAAACTTCATCCATGTGGCGAGAGGCAGCCAGGCCGCAAGCAGCAGCAATGCCCTATGGAGGAAGAGGAGGAGGAGTAGGGTTGGGGCGGGGGAAGCGGCAGTTAGGAAGAGCTAAGCAGGAGCTCTGCTTCTCTACGAGGGGTTTTGCTCTCCCAAGCAGGGTGTCAGGGCTCCGATAATCCACCCCCATTTGAATCACGAGTCCCTAGCCACATCTTTCAGAATTAAAAAAAAAAACATTTATTAGAAATGAACATGTCCGTGTTGCTTGGGTGCAGCCGACACTGAGACACACCATTCATCTCACCCCTGAGCCTGATCTTCACCCCAACCTCCCAGATGTATACTCTCCAATGGGACACATCCATAGCCAAGAGTCATCAATCATGCTCTCCAGTAATAATCTTGCGTGCCAGAAGCTTCAGCTGCCTAGCAATTATCTAAGGTATGCATTACTCCCACCGCCACTCCTTATCTTTTTATCTTGCTGGGGAGTTTCTATCCTCTGAGAAAGCCCTCCTGCAGCCCCCCTGCCCCCCCCCAGCCCCGGCTTCCTCCTTCAGAGGCTCTTCTGCAATGATAACCCCCTGAACTGATGTCCTTCTCTCCAGCTTGGAGGGAGAAGGAGACTGAGGGTGGCTGTTCGCCTGCGCACCTAGTAGTTGCCCTCTTACCTTTGCCTCCAGGGCTCCTCGCTGGCACATGGCCAAGAGGGTAAAGAGTTGGACCTGGATTAGCTGAGGGTCATCTGAGGCACGCAGGATGGCTCCGCAGTACTGATACAAGAAGATCTGCGTAAAGAAGACGCATTGGCTGTAGCTTTCCAAAACAACAGGGAAAACTGGGACAAGCCTCACTCTGCACGTGTATGTGTGCATGCGTGTAGGTGTTCGGGCATATGCGCCAGCGGCGTGAAGGGCATAGGATGGCATGGGATGTTTTGATGGGAGACAGAGGCCAGTCCAGTGTTTAACTCTGCTCAGGTCCTCTGTGCTCAACTTCAGGTCATGGTCATCAGGCCTACGGGATGACAAGAAACCGTAAAGAGCACCAGAAAAGGATGCCTTGGTTGCCTTGGTGGATCATAAGGGGAACCTGAACCACCAGGGTCCTGCCGCAGGGCTGGGCTGCTGGGGGTTCGGGAGAGCCCCTAGCTAAGATTCTGCGCAGTTTGGAGGACCCAGAAACCCCACTCCTGGCTGGCCCTGCCCATCTCACCCCTCCCCTCCCAGGAGTCCCCACGTGGCCCATTTTGGATGCAGGTAAGGGCAGGGCGTGCGCGGGGGGACAGGGAGGGCCAAAAACGGGCCTCTCGGAAGTTCGGGAAGGCTGGAAATGGGCCCGTTTGTGAGAAGGCCTCCAGATCCTGGTGAGGCCATTTTCGCCCTCCCAGAGGCTCGAGGAAAGCCTCCGGAGTCCAGGGAGGGCAAAAAAACTCCCCCTGCTGTGGTGCAGGAGGTTGACTAGGCCACGCCCCACCATGGCTACACCAACCCAGCAACCGGGCCGAGGACCCATTGCTAGATTTTTTGAGACCCAACCCTGTCCTGCAGCTTGAATTCAAGTACCGAGTGGAGCAATCTAGGCAAGGAACCACGGGGCTTAAATGACAAAGTAGCCGATTTTGGTGGGTCATGAGAAAGAACTTCTGAACAGGAGCAATCCACCACAGAATCACCAGCCTCAGAGGTAGGCAAACCTTCTTCCCTGCACCAAGAAGTTGCGCGGTCCACCTTTGGGGGGGGGGCTGCGAGAGGCTGGCTCGGTAGCTGGAAGCCCGTGTGGCCTTCCTCTTGCACAGGGGAGGCGCCCCCGGACCTCCGTTCTATGGTTTTGGGGGATGGAAAGCAAAGACGCCTCCCTGCTCACCCTTTCCGGGTTTTGGGTGCTGCATTTCTGGTCCACTTTCCTCAGCTCTTGATTGAGCTCATCAAAGCAAGCTTTGTCGGTGACGTCAATTAGAAGTCGCTCCGCAAACTGTCAAGCGGCACATGGAAGGAGCAGAGAGAGGGACATTCAGCTCAGCAGCCAGAGAGAGAGGGAGAGAGAGAGAGAGAGAGAGAGACCAGCATTTCCAGAGAGATAGCAACGTGCCGGAGACACCGGAGGACACAGCCGTCACTCCTTGTCACTGCACTTTTCCTCCTCAGAGGCCCTACACTCGCTTTACTTGCTAAGATTACAGCGTGGGACAGAATGATGCAATGAAATCATGGGTTTTGCTTTGCTTTTGATGCACAATCGCCAAAGCCCACTGTGTTACAATCTAATCTCCTCTGTCCCCTTTTAGATTAACAGAGTTGGAAGGGATCTTGTAGGTCATCTAGTCCAACCCCCCCCCCCACCACCCAAGCAGGAGACTCCACACCAGTGGTGGCTAACCTTTTTGGGCTCCTGTGCCAAAAACTGTGTGCATGCTCGCACTCATGCACCAGCGCCCAGAAGGCAATGCGCTTCCCCTAGGTTCCCTACACATGTGCGCACAATCTCCACCCCCGCTGCCCCCTCACCTGCACTGTGCCTCATAGCTGATTTTCAGCCAGTTTGAGGCCTTTTTCGACCTTCCAAAGGCTTGAGGAAGGCTTCTGCAGGCTTCTACAAGCTTTGTAGGCAGAAATCTAGCCCCGTTTAATCACTTCCTGTTTTTCTGAAAATACCGGAAGTGACAAAATGGGGCTAGATTTTGGCTTTACAAAGCTTGCAGAAGCCTGCAGAAGCTTTCCTGAAGCCTTTGGGCCTCAAACCGTCCGAAAATCAGCTGTGAGGCACGCACATGCGCAGTGAAGTAAGTTTGCCTGCAGCTTGCGTGCCGGCACAAATGGCTCTGCGTGCCACCTGTGGCATGCGTGCCATGGCTTCGCCATCACGGCTCTACACCATTCCTGACAGGTGGCAGTCCAATCTCTTCTTGAAAGCTTCCATGGTTTGAGTGCATTTCTCTAGTTGGATGCTATAGAAATGATCCCTGAAAGTATAGTTCCCCCCCCAAGAGCTATTTTCATTCCTTCCTTCCTCGTGCCTTTTATAGGTTTTGTAAGTACCTAATAGGATGTTAGTTGACCACAAGAAGCTAAAGCAGGAAGCAACCATCTGACCACAACCAGTCATGGGATGGATACTTGCGCAAGCGGAGGAGCTTTAACAGAAGGAGAAAGGAGGCAGCTTTTCGTGGGCAAAGACCCAACGAAAAGAGAGTACCACGATGTGGCACATGGTTTCTCAGCCATGGCACACCCCACCCACCCCCACTTAGGGAATATCCTTCCCCCTGAAATTAGATCGGCCCCATCCCTTTTGATGCTACAGAAGCCCCTGGAGACCTGGCTCGGTTCTCAGCCCACCCAGGCAACAGGAAACTGGCTTAGAGGTGGCCATCTTTGTGCTTCCTTTGCCTTGGATTTATATACCTATTTTTATCATCTTTATTTTTAATCTGAATGTTTGTATGGACTGTTATCATATCATCTTGCTGTAAGCCTCCCGGATATGCTTTTGGTGAGATGGGCAGCTGTTTATAAATTTGATTAATTAATAGATAGCAAGTCTTAGGGAAAGAAACGTGGTATAATTTTTAATTCTTACGGGCACAACTTCCTTCAAGAGCAGGAAAGGTATTACTGGAGGGATTGATTAAGAAATACCCTTAAAATACTTTGGACCCTAACGTGGCAGAGGTTCTCCTGGTGACAGATAAAACAGATAGAGGGTCTTGGGATACATCCTGGTGGAGTCATTCCAGGTAGAGATATTCTCTGGGCCAGGGGTGGGATTCTACCGGTTCGGAGTGGTTCAGGCGAACCGGATGTTAAATTTATATTTGGTTCACCAAACCGGTAATTGAACTGACCAGCTGGCCCTGCCCACTGCGCCCCTCCCAGGAGTCTCCATGTGGCCTGTTTTGGATGCAGGTAATTGCAGGGTCTGCACAAGAGCCCTGGGAGGACCAAAAACGGGTCAAAGAGGAAGTTCCAGAAGTCTGGAAGTGGGCCTGTTTCTGGCTTCTGGAGGGCCACTGGAGCCCAGGGAAGGCTGGTTTGCCCTCCCAGAGGCCTGAGGGAAGCCTCCTGACTCTGAGGAAGGTGAAAAACGGCCAAACCGGAAGTTCCGGAAGTGTGGAAACAGGCCTGTTTTAGGCATCTGGAAGTCGGGGGAGGCAGTTTTCACCCTCCCAGAAGCCCAAGGGAAGCCTCCAGACCCTGGGGAAGGCAAAAAAACGGCCCTCCCGGAAGTTCCGGTAGGCCACGCCGACCATGGCCACGCCCATCCAGCAACTGGGCAGTGAACCCGTTGCTGGGATTTTGAATCCCACCCCTGCTCTGGGCCCATTTTGGCAAGGTAGCATCCTGGAGTTCAGAATCAGCCAAAGATGGCAAACCCTGAGTGGCCTTCCTGGGCATTGGGCAAGCTCAGGGCATAGCAGTCCCATGGCAGCCCCTGTGTGAGTGCAGAAAAAAAAGGAAAAGGCTACAGATACGACCTGAGTGGGCAAACTCAGAAACAGCTGCAAGGGAGATACTTTCTGCACTGCCCATTGGAACAAGGACAGACCAGGACCTTTTACTCCAGAGGAAGGGAGGAAAGCACTGAGCGACAGCTGGCCATGTGGAAACCAGGCCACTTCTCTAAGGATCCATTTGCTGGGTTTTCCCTCTTTCTTCTTGCTATATTTGTGGTCAGCCTGAGGATTTAGGGAAAAGCACAATACTGATCCTCTGCTTGAAGCTCAGTTTGGACTAGAAGACCCCTGAAGTCCCTTCCAACTCTGTTATTCTGCTATCACTGTTATATCTGCTATATATCACCAGCTATAACTTTCCAATGTCGCTTCTGTTACGTTGCTGGAAAAACTCTCCAGCCGAATGTTTACTGCCTCCTGTTTCTAGGTATTCTTTTTCCTGCTTCCTCTCCTCCTGTCTGTGCAGATGTACCTGAAGACTGGCTTTTAAAGGTTCAGCCCTGCAGCTGAAAGGGCCTAGACCTTCTAAACAGACCAGGCGTCAAGGTAGAAGAGCTCTCACCTTACCTCCACCAGCTTTCGTTCCCATACGTCAATCTTCAAGGCGTCGCTCTCTGTGAAAGCTGCGCGCAAGAGAGAAGGAATCACTGAGGAGGACCTGAGACCGGGACGCCTCTGGAGCAAGCATGGTTTCAAATGATTCAGAAACAAAGTTGAAAAGCCTCCGGGAGCAAAGAGACACGATACCTTTGTTTGCCAGTTTCCCCAACACGCACAGGATGCTGCGATACGGAACCAGCCTTCCTTGGAAACCCTCCAGGAGCTTGGTGAGGACTTCAGCTGGGAAATGGTTCCAGAGGGCCACCAGGATGTCACCCGCTGCGTCCTGATACAAGTCCTGAAGATCCTGCAGCAGAAAAGGGGGCCAGAAATGAGGGCCTTCTTCCCCCCCCGTTTCTCTCTGTCTCTCTCTGTCTCTCTCTCTCTCTGTCTCTGTGCCTCTCTCTCAGTCTCTCTCTCTGTCTCTCTCTCAGTCTCTCTCTGTTTCTCTCTCTGTCTCTGTTTCTCTCTCTCTGTTTCTCTCTCTCTGTCTCTGTGCCTCTCTCTCAGTCTCTCTCTGTCTCTCTCTCTCTGTCTCTGTTTCTCTCTCTTTGTTTCTCTCTCTGTTTCTCTCTCTCTCTCTGTGTCTCTGTTTCTGTGCCTCTCTCTCAGTCTCTCTCTCTGTCTCTCTCT